CGTAAGCGATCTGCCTCTAGACCACGAGAGACGGATAACCCCGACTGGTGCTGGTATCATAACCAGTATGGAAAGTCTTCCAGAAATTGCAGAAAACCCTGCAATTTTCCCAACACGAAACCGATCGACTCGAAAAACAACTCGGGAAACTTCCGGGCCGGCACTCGTTAACGGCAACCGTAGCCGGCGAACATAGCCGTCTGTTATACGTCACAGATGTGACAACGACAGTTTGCTACCTCGTCGACACTGGCGCAGAAGTTAGCGTTCTCCCAGCAAATCCTAACGACCGACTTCACGAATCGACCCTAAACTTACAGGCGGCAAACGGAAAACCGATCGCTACGTATGGCAAAAGGTACGTTTACCTTAACGTGGGCTTACGCAAACCCATTCACTGGATCTTCGTTGTTGCAGATGTTTCTATGCCAATCATTGGTATGGACCTTCTACAACATCACAATCTGATAATCGATACGTGCAAACGGAGGCTAGTAGACGGAAACACTAATTTATCCGTTTGCATAACTTCCTTTCCTGGTTGCAAATTATCCCCAGTCACAATTAAGCATATGATAGACCCACTCTATCAGCCACTACTCGATAAGTATCCTGGGATACGACAAACGCAACCGAGATTACCGTGTGTAACCAGCGACGTTACACATCACATCACGACTACAGGACCACCTGTATTTTCTAAAGCATGACGACTAGCTCCTGAAAAGCTAAGGTTAGCGAAAAACGAGTTCGACTACATGATAGACTTGGGTATCATAAGACCGTCAGATAGCCCATGGGTATCACCGTTGCACATGGTCCCTAAAAAGGACAGCAACGATTGGCACCCAACTGGTTACTATCTGTGATTGAATGCGAAAACCATTCCCGATCGTTACCCGTTGCCTCATATTCACGAATTGACAGCTACCTTGAAAGGTACAACTGTCTTTTCGAAAATTGAATTGGTTAAAGCTTACAACCAAATTACCATGGCCACTGTCGACATTCCAAAAACAGCTGTCATAACTCCCTTTGGACTTTACGAATTTCTGTGAATGCCCTTCGGTCTAAGAAACGCTGTGCAAACCTTCCAGAGGTTTATGGACGACGTTTTCCGAGGTCTCACCTTCGTACATGTGTATGTTGCCGACTGTCTAATAGCAAGTGCGGACAGAGAATCACATCTCAAGCATCTGGATCTTGTTTTCGATCGACTACAAAAACATGGCATTACTATAAACATTCAGAAATGCCGAATCGGAACTGACTCATTAAATTTCCTTGGACGCACTATAGATGCGCACGGTATTCGACCTCTCAGAACCAAAGTGGCGGCCATTCTGGATTACGCAGAACCGACCACCGTCAAGCAATTACGCACGTTTAACGGCCTCGTAAGTTTCTATAGACGTTTCATACCCAAATGCGCATTACTCATGAAACCGCTAACCGACCAACTTCGTGGAAATGCGAAATCCATTAATTTGGACGACACCGCACGAAAAGCATTCTCCACAGTTAAGGAACTGATCGCTAAAGCGACAATCCTCGCACATCAGGACACCGAAGCACCCATTAGTATCGCAGTAGACGCATCGGACTCGGCAATCGGTGGCGTCTTGCAACAATGGGTTTACAACTCCTGGCAACCCTTGGCATTTTTCTCTAGAAGGTTGCTAGACACCGAATCTAGGTACAGCACATTCGGTAGGGAACTCCTAGCTATGTATTGTGCTGTACGGCATTTCCAACACTACATCGAAGGTCGTGAATTCACTCTTTTCACGGACCATAAACCGCTCACTTTCCCGTTAAGCTCTCCTTCTGACAAGTACTCTCCCCGTGAGTCTCGACAACTGGACTACATTTCGCAGTTTACTTCAGACATTCAACACATCTCTGGAGCAAACAATGTAGTTGCAGACGCTTTATCTCGCGTAACTTCCTTGAACAGTTTCCAAGGAATCGACCTTCTTAAACTCGCTCAGCTTCAAAAAGAAGACAGTGATCTTCAGCACGAGTTATCGTCCACAACACTTAAACTACGCATCAAACAGATGGGAACAGGTAAGGAAACCTTACTTTGTGACACATCTACAGGTAGGGATCGCCCAATCGTGTCGAAGTATTATCGACGCAATGTCTTCAACACATTGCACAAACTTTCGCATCCAGGTGTTCGTGCAACCATCAAGCTTATAACAGAACGGTTTTGCTGGCCTGGCATGAATAAAGACGTGAGGGAGTGAGCACGCTCCTGTGTAAGCTGCCAAAAATCTAAGGTTATCAGACACAATAAATGTCCTCATTTAAAACTCCCAATGCTCGTTTCGACCATGTTCATCCGGATTTGGTAGGACCGTTACCAGATTCAAATGGATACGCTTACCTCTTAACCTGCGTAGACCCATTCACGCGATGGCCAGAAGCAGTACCTATCAAGGACATCACTGCTGAAACAGTGGCTCGCGCCTTCGTCGAACGATGGGTAGCAAACTTCGGTTGCCCTTCAACCATCACTACAGACCGCGGACGTCAGTTTGAATCTGAACTTTTCCGTCGTCTGACCACACTTTTAGGAATCACTCGATTCCGAACGACCGCCTACCATCCACAAGCAAACGGGTTGGTAGAACGCTTTCATCGACAACTAAAAGCTTCACTATCAGCTGCAAACGTTTCACAGTGGACCGACGCTCTTCCACTTGTCTTACTAGGTATCCGCAATGCAGTGAAAGCTGACATTAGATACACTGCGGCTCAACTCGTTTATGGAACGACACTTCGACTTCCAGGAGAATTCGTGGATCCTTCGTCCTTTTCAATGAACATGGATCTAACCTCCTACACGAACAGGCTTACAAACGCAATGCTTTCAGTTAAACCTGCATCAACTCGACCACAATCAACCGATGTTTTCGTTCAACCTGACTTACGATATAGTACACACGTTTTCGTTCGTCGAGACTCGCATCGACAACCATTCGAATCAGCATACGAAGACCCTTCAAAGTTCTTCAACGTGAATCTAAGTACTATATAGTCGACAAGAACGGAACAAATGACAGCATCAGCATCGATCGCTTAAAAGCAGCGTATTTAGAAGGAAATCCTATTCACGTCGACTTTCCTTCGGTACAATCGCACAACACAACTCCTATACTCATAATTCCTCAACCGACAACCAACACTAGCGATGATACTTCGAATGTATCTGAAAACATACCTAAAACGACGCGTTCTGGAAGAAGAGTAAGATTTCCAGAACATTTAAACGACTACTGCACGTAAGGCACTACTTGACATTTTATATTATCCCGATCTTTCTTTTTATGGTATATAATTTTTTTTAAAAAAAAGACAATTTTAATATGCTTATATATTTATATTTGTATTTTAAAACAAAACAAAACATGAAAAGAAATTTAACGCTATTATGTGTGCTTGAATATATTTTCCATTTTTTCGATGACATTGTGTTTTTACGCACATACGAGTGTATTTTCGACATGCACTTACACTTTCTTTTTTCTTTTCCAGGACGGCTGGAAAAGAACGATGCAGTTTACGAGGTGTCGAAATTTTCGTTGTAACTATGTTGTACCTCGGTCCCAAATAGTAAGGAAAGACGACCAGACGCTGCTACACTTAGTAAGCTATCAGAAGAGTGTTTACCAACGACAAACTCGTCGAGTTTAAACTTCTGGCTGGCCACGTCTTAGGGTCGTCACTGCCCCACCAGGGGGGGAGTGATCTGTAGCGGTAAATAAATCCCCAAAATAAATAGCTCTAAGTTTTCGACATTGGATGCTGACCATATGTTTTAGTGGACTCATCTAGCTGAAGGCGCTCGGTCATGCATCCGCACCAGATCACGTGTGGTAACGCCGTGCTCAACATCAACCGCAATCGCTAGCCAGATTAGATCAGAGAATTCCGATATATTGGTCATCGCCAAATATACTCTTCCGATCTCCTCGACTCTGTCTTTTGATTTCTCTGGGTGGGAACGAAATATATTAGAAGGTGTTACTGGTAGAAGCGTTGTCGAACACTGAATACCTGTGACGTCATCAAGGCTATCAGACTTAAGTCTGATAAACATTCTTTCAAACAGCTTACTCTTTTACCTATATGGGAAACTGTTGAAGTGTTGAGAATGTGTGTTTAAGTTTCAGTGAACTTTTGATTAAATGCACATTTCTTGTGAATAAATTATAACCTGTTCGTTCTTTTTCAGATAATTTCAAACGACAATGAATTAGCAATTGCATTGGATATGCATAACAATCGATGCTTCTGCTTGTGCTCTACTGTTGTACAATAATACGCTTTTCTTTTTCAATAAAATTTTTGAAATATTTACCGCTTTTCCACTGCATTGCAGATATATTTTGGTCTGTTGTTGAAAATAAAGGCGAACATAGGAGACCTTTGGGGTTCTGTCGATGGATAGAAAATAGTAGGTAATGTGTGTATTTAGGCGAAAAGTAGACAATTAAGCGCATAAGTAGGCGATTCGGCGGATATTTAGGCGAAAATGCGACAATTCAGCGGATATTTAGGCGAAAAGGCGACAATTCAGCGGATATTTAGGCGAAAAGGCGACAATTCAGCGGATATTTAGGCGAAAATGCGATAATTCAGCGGAAATTTAGGCGATAAGTCGGTAATTTGTCGACAAAAAGGCGAAAAAGGGGAAAATCCGCATTATTTACCCCGGACAGGCGAGAAAGGCGACATTCTGATGCGTTTTCCCCTTTATTTCGCCTTTCGCCACCAAAGCATTTTCCCCTTTATTTCCCCTTTTTGGGTTGTCTGGGTTAGTAGGGCTGAACTCAAAACAAATTTGTAATTATCTTGATTTGACCGCTTTTGCAAAACCATAAGAATTGTCGAGCTGACCCACTAATCGTTTTACGACATTTTGACCTTCGAGTGCTCAGTAACCTCCGTCAGTGGACGATACTACCGAAGCGTTGTCACATCTTAAGATGTGAAAAAACATTGCCACAACCTTTTTATCTTAATTTTCGGCGTTTAGCGTTATCCATGTATCTGCTTGCACATCCACAATTACATAAAAGTTTTGTAGAAACCGCCAAAATAGATTTAGTAAACTTCCTGAATGAATACGAATGGTGTTATGGGTGTGAAAACTTAGTCTACAATGTGCATTCGTTACAGCACCTCCCTGACGACGTTCGTGCACATGGACCTTTAGATAGTTTTTCAGCCTTTCCATTCGAGTCTTATATGAGAAAAATTAAGGATTCCGTGCGTAGTGGGTTTGCAGTAGCTAAGCAAGCAGCACAGCGTTATGCTGAGAGAATGTCCTTCAGCGATAGGCTTCAAATTAGTGGTTTAACAAATACTACCGCAATAGGCCATAAAGATGTCTCCAGTAAACAAGTAATTATGTGTAACAACAGTAAAATAACTTCATGCCAGCCTGATAATGTAGTAGTAGTTAACGGCCAGCCAGGTTTAGTCACTGATATAAAGGAGGATGGACTACTAAAATTTAGGACTTTCACTGACCCACGCAATTACTTTGAAGATCCTTTCCCATCTAGTGATATTGGAATCTTTATGTGCTCCGTAGTTAGCCACGAATACTCCTGGGTATCGGTTCAGGACATTGATTGTAAATGTATAGCCATAAATTGTATCAATTATATAGTTGTAATCCCATTGTTGCATACTTTATTGTAAATGCATTTTGTTTCATTAGTGTTTAAGTAATGATGATAAATCATTTACTTACGTCTTTTTTTCTTTTTAGCCAACTAACAAGAAATACGTTATTGTTGACGTCCTACAGGAAAAACAACTTATGATAGCATCAAAGAACTGGATAGTTGGCAATGACCTTTGCGTTCTTCCGAACGAGCTGGTCGATATACACCTGCAGAAGTGCGACCAACCGAATGAAAATTGGTCGCTTATGAAATGTAAAGTGATTCACGAATTAGGTAGGCTACAGACACAGAAAGTATAATTCACTATAGATTCTCTGCAGTCAGCAAAAGACCTGTTAGCTGCCCTACAGGTACTGGAATGTCGAAGGAAAAACACCTCTACGGATGAAAACACTTTGCCACTGAACACTGAGAAGCCAAAGAGGTCTGTACAATAATCTTACTTACATTTCCTAGAGGTTTAATGAAGCGTAAAGAAGATTTTCTTTACAATTCAGTTGACATGGATGTGGCTGAAATGCAGGCTGGGAATAGCCGCGTACAATATCCAAAATTCCGTGTTTTCAACAAAGTGATATCGCCAATCGCCAAGTACGTTTAATTACTATTTAGATATTCACTATTTAGTTCAACACAATTAGAGATATCACCATCCACATCGCAATGTAAGCCTGTTGGTGGCACTGTATTGGACCAGTAAGTTACCTACATCATCTAGTTACCTTTTTTACCTGTGATAGATTGTATACGGTGGTGCTGAAGATGTCGTCAGCTATCACTGACTTGACTCAAACGATTAACAACATGTCGTCCGCCATTACGAACTTGAATGTTAATGTTAACCAATTGCTTTCAAAGTCTAATGAGCGCGAAAGACCGCATGAATTCGATTGCGGACTGTCAAGTCAGGAGTTCCCTTTGTCATCTGAAGAGGAACTACAGATGCTAGACACTGGTTTGTCGCAGAAAGAAACCAGGGACAGATTTGTAAGTCATTAACATGAATTGAATAATTTGTTACTATTACAGATGGCAATGGTCACTAGGTTATCAGGTGACGATCCAAAAACGTCCATGCGTTTTATTCTGTCGCATCTGCTGACACCGGAGGTTGCCAGTAAATTCACGTTACTTGGCACCTCTTCTAAACGAGCACTACATAAATGCACGTTTTACAGCTGCATACGAAGTAACGTATATCTATTACTTAAACTTCAGGTGCCTTAACTCATCGTTTTTTGTCATCCTCTGTAAATGAGAAAGACCTTGGTAAGCTATACGACATAGCGACACAAGGTTACTTTCACGACCTCCGAGACAAGATGATAAAACGAAATAGAAGAAAAGAAAATCAGGTAGGTACTAATTTAAAGTGATAACCTCCCTACGGCTCTATAGTTACAGTCAACAATACTGACGAACATAACCGTAAGTTCAGCTTCAAGTATTTGGTTGTGCAAAAGCATGTCATTGAGATATGGTTGTGACTATTTTTTTGTTTTTTTTTAAAATTCAGAATTCACAGGACGACTACCCCAATTGTGATTAGTCCGTGCAATTGCTTTGATGTTGTACCTCCATTTCAATAAACATTATTCTTTCAAACAGCTTACTGTTTTACCTACATGGGAAACTGTTGAAGTGTTGAGAATGGGTGTTTGAGTTTAAGTGAACTATTGATTAAATGCACATTTCTTATGAATACATTATAACCTGTTCGTTTTTTTTCAGATAATTTCATGCCAGTAATTACTGGCACTACATAACCCTTCTGGGCTTTCAAATAGTTTGAGGAGTATAAGTTCCGTGTGCTGTACCCAGTCTATGTGAGACTTTATCTGGAACATTAGATTCAAGCAGTTAGTTCATATATTACCATAGATGCTGATACACTTAGTATCTGAGCGAGACTAATTTATGAAGAAGCCAATCACAATCGTTTTAGAGATTTCAAGGTTACGGCGCCAACTCCAGTGCTTAATGCTACAGGTGAATTTTTCCGCAACGTTTCCATGTAAGCCTAATGATCGCCCAGTGTAATAACGGTCATCTGTGCGTTCATGTAATCATAGAATTTATCATTTCATAATGTATTTTTTATCAAATAACTAGATTATGCTGTCAGTTTTGTACAAAACGTGATAACTGAGCAGCTATAACAAATAAGATGGCAAGACTATAATTTGTGGACTAATCAATCAGGTATAAGATAATAGATCTCGGATTTTAACGCGAAAGCCTTTCATCCATTTGGCTAAATAAATTTCTGCCATTATAGCTGATGTCAGTTCGTAATGAAAACCCCATATATAATTCGTATCTAAGGCAAATTATGACAATTATTTGAAACTGGATAATAAAAGCACCCATAACACTGGCTGCAGCCAGATACTACAATATATACGGATGTTTGGAGAGCGTACAGACTCACACGTAGGCTTGGTTATGTGCATCGTGTCGTTATCCACAAGTAGCATTTCGTCCACTCAACAACAGGAGTTCACGGCGAGACTAATTTAGGGACGAGCCAATGAGAAGCGTTTGAGCAATTTCAAGGTCACGGAGCCAAGTTCAATACGCGCTACTAACATACGATCGGTTCACAGCGGATTTTAGAGAGTAGGTGATTAATGAGAGGTTACAACAGATAGGACGGCGAGACTCTAATTTAGGGACGAGCCAATCAGAAGCGTTTGAGCAATTTCAATTATTAGTCAATCAGAAGACAGCATAAAGTAAAAATATATTGAAAGAAAGTAATAAATCACAGTGGATATTCTTCTTTGACATGATTTAAAAACTCGTATGTTAGCATCCTAACCCTCACCTAACCCTAACCCTCACCTAACTCTAACCCTAACCTTAACCCTAAACCTTAACCCTCACCTAACCCTAAACCTAAACCTTAACCCTAAACCCTTACCTAACCCTAAGCCCTCACCTAACCCTAAACCTTAACCCTAAACCCTTACCTAACCCTAAACCCTCACCTAACCCCAACCCTAACTAACCCTAATCCTAAACCCTAACCTTAACCCTAAACCCTCAACTAACCCTAAACCTTAACCCTCAACTAGCCCTGACCTTACCCGTAAACCTAACTCTAACCCAATAGACGAGTTTCTATTCCATATGCATTGTGAATTCAGAACCTCTGAACCTTAATCAAACCTTAACAAGTTTTTAAATCATGTAAAAGAAGAATATCCACTGTAATTCATTACTTTCATATATCTTCACTTTATACTGACTTTCTTCTGATTGGCTAATAATTGTCAAGGTCACTTAAGATTCGTTCAAAGACCGTCCATAAATTAGAGTCTCGCTGGATATCCTTTTGTTAATCCAACTCAGGTGTTTTGGGTAACCGATGTAAAGATACAACTCAACTTAACATAGTCATATGCCCACTAAAATTGCGTCATCACTCTCAAAAATGTTTCCAACTCTTGCCTCGCGTTGTAAATAGCAAGATTAAGATCAGCTGTAACAATAATTATAGGCTGGTGAGCTTCTGTAAAAACCCGTTCTGTTTCTGTTCCGTATATCAGGACAACTAAGCTTTCCAGGGTGGGAAATAACAGTAAGGGGTAAAAGGGTTGGATATCGAAAGTCAACTCGTTCATGGGGATGAAACCCCAAGGACCCGTCACAACCCATTACGGTAAAACGCAGAAGTCCCCAATTATAGGCCGTTAAGTCCTGCCTAGCAAAAATACTTCCGGCACGTTTGAGAAGACAGCAACAAAATTCACTCTGATAATCGAAAGAAGAGTGGCAAGATTGGGGAACCTTGTCCGATCCCGCTGATCTAGTGTCGCAATAGAGCGGTGTTTGTGTGCCCGCACTCTCCCTGAAATGTTTGTATGTAAGGTTGTCTAGACGGTAATAAACTTCTCAAGCACACCATTAAACGGACAATCCCCGAAAATAGTCCTGTCCAACAAATCCTCTATAAGTCACCTTACTTCGATTCATCAATTGTTCTACGGGCCTGTGTATATAGCTAAGTTGGTGTAATTAGAGCTTTTTTTCCGCTGTCTAAGGTCATCATCCTTTGGATTTTAGTTTCTGCTATAGAAAGTCTAAAAACACCTTTCTATGTTATAGCATTATGCAACGGAGATTTCGAGTCATTTTGTGCTACTCATGACTTTCTTATAGCGTCCAGAATGTCTACGAATCATAACTTATAGTTATATTCACGCCTGTTCTCACTGTAATTCATCTTAAAGCTAACTTGGAGGAAATAAAAAGAGAAATTGCAATGTTATCATTTTGTGGCTGGTTACATTTTATTCTCTTAAATTTTACAACTCGTTTCTTAATACTCTGTCGATTTCATATTCCCAGTAAATATCTAACAATGTAGTTAGATGCTTTCCAATCGTTTCTCAAGAAAACCATTACTATATTGCGTAAGGTGACTGTCTTTTTCTGTACTTTCTATACATAATTGCCTTATCTCACTGGACATGGTTGCCAACTCATTTAGATAATGATGGGTTTCAGCGCATTTGAACGCAGATCTTGCTATCCAGATCGAAAGTGAAGTTCATGGAGGAGGAATTTTCTGCAACTATCAAGGAATATCAAACGGTTTTAGAGTCAGTGGATAAAAAACTTACATCAGTCATTACTAACGATCGATTTCTTAATGACCTTATTCCGAAGTCCGATCACGAAGGTGAATTCGTAAACCTGCCAATAAACAGAGAAGTGATGAATGCTATAGAAATTCACTTTGGGCGAGTAAGTCCTGTTTCTGTAGCATACCTGTTTTACCACAAAATAACAGCCTCAAACATTAATATGTATTTCAGTATTTTCGTTAAGCTTGATCTACATATTCTGCTAGTCTATTCGTGAGATTTGAGACGACAAGGAAAAGTGATTCTGACTGAGGATCCATCAGATTTCCAATGGTTTAAATACATAATGAATGGCTCACTATGTGTATGTTTGGGGAGGGTGGTTATCTGGGTAAGCTCTATATTATCTATTTGCGTTTAAAGCCTATCAGTAAGGAATTATAATACTGCGGTTGTCAAAACTATACAAATACTACAATCTTCCTCTCATGGATAGCTACTATCATCGATAAAATTCGATTTGTGACGGCGAAGCTCTTTACTAATCCCATTATCAGTCTCCCGTCAGTCAGTCAGTCAGCTACAACGTAGGACCAGGCACATATGTGCATCGGTCCAGGTTGCCATACCGCATCAGCACAACAAGATGAACACCGGATTCATAGCAGTGGTTAGGTCAAAGGTAGCAATATATAAGAGAAAGATTGCATATAGAGATATAGTACAAGAAGAAAGAATTGGTTCGTAGAAAGAAATTTTATTATTTATTTATTTTAACACATAGATATTGGTACAAGGAGGCACCAAATACATATGCGCCACACAAATCTCATTCGATATGTGAGGGCTGTGATACTGCCCGGGTGCTCAAACCGAAGAAAGAATTGGTTCGTAGAAAGAAAGATATGAAGTGATTTTAATCTCTTAGTTTAAGGGAAGACAGGGAGTGTATATACCGACGCCATTGTGATCGATTCTGAGCCATGTCACCAAGAGTCTCCAACCATTGGATACGAAGGTCACGCGGACCCCAACCAAGTAGTCTGCATCTACCAACATGGCTCAGACTAGAAGTCAGTGTCTTCAAGCACTGATGCCACGTTTTGGTTTGGCCGCCCCTAACTTTCTTCCAACCATCTCCAATACCAGATAGCATTACACGTCGTGGTAATCGGTGTTCAGGCATACGTAACACGTGGCCCAACCATCTCAGTCGATGAAGATTCATAACCTCATCAACTGATTTACCATCATCCCCTAATACCCTGCGTCTAACCTCACTATTACTTACCCGGTGATCCCAGCAGACGCCAGCAATATTTCTAAGGCATCTGTGGTCAAATACTAATAGCTTACGAGTGTCTTCTACTCTTAATGGCCATGTTTCGCTGCCGTAAAGTAAAACAGAACGGACTGCCGTGCAGTATACCCGTCCTTTTATTGATAGACGGATATCTCGCCTTCGCCAGAGGTGACGTAAGTTGGCAAAAGCCAAGCGAGCTTTTCGAATCCGTGCTGAGATTTCGTCAGACACCAACCCATTAGGGCTGATCAGACTTTCAAGATAAGTGAAGTTGCCAACGCGTTCGACTACTTCACTCCCTATCCTTAGTTCAGGTGTTGACGCCGACCAGTCCTGAAGCAACAACTTGCATTTAGAGGGAGAGAAGCGCATTCCAAACATTCTGGCATTGTTGCTTAGTAATACCAAAAGACTCTGCATTTTATCAGCGTCTCCACCAAACAGGACTATATCATCTGCGTATTCTAAGTCGATAAGTGGACCTCCTGGAAGGAGATCAATACCCGAGAACTCAGTCGACGGGAAGGTTATTTTCATCAGATCTATGATGAAGTTAAACAAAAATGGGGAAAGTGGACAGCCTTGACGGACACCACTTGAGGTTGCAAAAGTAGATGACAGTTCGCCATAAGCTCTGATTCGACTGGTGGTGTTCGAGTAATGAGCCTTCACAATGTTTATGTACTTCTATGGTACGCCTTTCAATGACAGACACTGCCACAGAATCTCGCGGTCAATCAGTCTCTTTACTATATGTTTCGGTCCATCTACAAGAAATCACTTCGATTTTTGCGACTGGCTTATCCTGCTTTTTTGAGTCGCTTACTAACCCGAAATTTCTATAATCACCTCTAAAGTTTTAGTGTTATTATACTTTGCTACCGCTTGTTTGTTATTATATTACTATTATACACACTATATACTAGTGTGAAGCTAATTGAGATGAAATATTCTTCCACTTTATTTACTTTCTGTCTCGATCATTTAGAATGGCATAATGATTCTCGCAAAGTGGTTTTGATGCGTATTGCTGGGTCTTATTAAAATAGTATTATTCTATGCAGAAAGAAAAAAACATTCCAAAACCACGGTAGTCTAACAAACCTTATTTTTCGCTAGCAAGTAAGCCTATATGCTATGTTTGAGTATGAGTAAGCCCACGTTGTGTTGACAGCGGTATATATATGATTGACTGGAGTTGCTCGAGTTAATTTATGGAAGGTCAGAAACGAATACTTAGTTTTCCACATAGTTCAGTAATCCTATGATTCTAAGAGCGAAAATTCCCTAATTTTTCATTACAAATTGTGCTCAGGATGTGTTGACAGAAGTGTCTACCAGGAAGCACAAACCACTTTCCTAATAACCTTCATAAAAATTTATCCCAATACACTCACGTTGATTTAAGTGTATTTATTTCTGTTATTTGTTTCCGCAGGCTATGCGTCTAACGTTGTTGAGAGGAGATGGTGTAAGACTACCTATGGTAGTTCCTGTTGATGCTCGTGTTTTGGAATTGCGATGGGCAGTACAAGATGCAGTTACTTCGTACATGAACTATCTCCACAGTGCATCAAATTTACCAAAAGATATTCCTTCGAAGTCGATTAGCTGGCGTAATTTGTGGAAAACGAAATGTCTAGCTCTAGTGAACCCACATAGTTTGTGTTCATCAGAAGGTCTTCCGTCTATCAGTGCTAGACTAGATGTATTAACTAATAAGTTATCATATTATCAAATTCGTAATGGTGCAGTGATCACTTTTGCTCCTCAGCTTAAGCGAAAATGAACATTAATGTGTTTTTACTACTTCACTAAACTATATTTAAGTTTTCCTCTTTTGCGATCTCATTGCTTTTACTTATCAAATAAAGTAGTCATAAGTTATTTTTGACGTCCTCTGTCATCACTCCTATTATTTTTGCTAAATTAATACGTCTATTAAGCGTTAACCAATTCATTTAACTATCAAGGCAACTGAGGGATTCTTTGGTGGACATACTCAACTAAGGAGTTTACAGAAAAACGCTTGTTAAACCTGAGCTTTGACAGTAAGTCCATATCGGCTCTTGACGTGTCTAAATGTGGAAGGTTTGAACAAGTCAGCTGATATATTAAATCACTGGAAATAAACCTTTGGTCTGGGGGTTATGTTGTAATTCGATATGATGATGTGGATAAAGTCGAAGCTTGACTGATTTTAACTAAAAGCACCACTCGAATGACGAAGATCCACTTTACAAAATATACCGGGATTGACAGTTCTACAGCTTACCAGATAAGATATTAGTTACAAACTAATTCAATCATCTGAATAAAGGAGTATCAAGTCAAATCAATAGATTGACGGAAATTGGTGTTTCTTAATTCCAGCGTCGGACTAAAACTATTGGGAAACTGAAATGGTCTATTTGAAACTAATGTATATTTAGATACATCTAAATCTGCCACTTGATAGATCCATAAGACTGGAATCACCCTTAGACTTAAATGCTCCTGACAAGTTTTCATCAAGTACATTTTATATAATTAAAATAGCCCATAGTGTCATTGAATAAGAAAAAGAGAATTCAGCGAAGAAAATTTTCTTTTCGACGAAATCATTTACTTAAGCTGTACATTCGTATATATAGTTATATGGAAAATGTATGTCTATAGAAGGATAGAAAGGATTGTATCACGAAAAATGGATTCGACAATAAATAACAAATGAGGTTAACGTACTAATCAAGGGGTAAGGAAGAACAAAATTTAAGGGTCAGATAATAGTCCAATTGACAGATTGACAGATATGAAGAAAAACGACAAAACAACAACCCCTTGATTAGTACGTTAACCTCATTTGTTATTTATTGTCGAATCCATTTTTCGTGATACAATCCTTTCTATCCTTCTATAGACATACATTTTCCATATAACTATATATACGAATGTACATTTTATATGCCAACACATGATGGTAATGCAAAGTAATTTGGCTTTAATGAAACAGTGAATAATCTAATCACGAATAGTAACTAGAATCGACTGCATTAACCATTGCTGTATTTTCAAGAACAGAGTTTGGCTTTTTTTAAAGTGTATTTCGGAGTTCAGTTCAACTATTTACAAATTTAACATTTTGTGAAGCAACGTAATATGAATAATAACTATTGTAACCATAATTTTGACAACAATCAAAATAAATGAATTATAGTGAATAAGTGTGTAAAACAATGTGGTTTTGTTGTTCTGTCACTCTCGTAGTATCTATTTGCAATTAACAGACTAATCACTTTCTGCACCATGTCTATCTTCAATCATCTCTTGATGCCATTGGTTAAATGCTTCCGTTAAGCATGTAACAGGGCAGTATATCGAAGATTTTAGAGGAGAATTAGTCCTGCGCCAATAAAGACGGTATGCTCGTATAACACGTAACTAAAATTCAAAAATAAACGCAGTGTATTATGAAGCATTCGATTCTCAACTCTTATGAATAGTTTGTATCTTAGAGCAACCAATCAGTATCTGATCAACATTTGAGATTTCCCTTGAGCGTTTGTTGTAAACTTTATGGATAATGTATCCTTACATAGATATCTAATTGAGTTAAAGATATATGTCCTTAAGTTGTAGACAATATCCAGCAAGACTGAATTTATTATTAAAGTTCTGTCTGATAATTCAGGATTTTGTTTAATAAAACTGAAAATTTACTTGCTCAACGGGAAGGATCTCATATGTAATGCTTCATAGCTTGCTTTATATTCAATATATTTCAGATAACCCTGGTAAACTTTAGAATCTCAAATAACGTTTTATAAAAGATCACTAATCAATTGACGAGTGCATATTACGTGGACAATTCTCAGTTTTTGGGTAAGCACTGAAATATCATAATAAATATTTATACTTACCGGTTCGCTGTAGGTAAAAGTATTCCCTGAACGTGTATAAAAGTAAAATCTGGGAGATTTGAGAGTACTGTTTGAAGAGAACCTAGATTCTGTTACCAATAGATCATCTATATCTCGGATCCCAGAGTCCTGAGGAAGTCTCCTGAATATTTCAGTAAGAATGGATTCTTTGGAATGTTTTCTCTGTCCGTATATAAGAAAATAAATTATACTTGAAAACAGTACCATATGGCAATTATTTGAGCGCGTATTTGCGTCCAAAATATATGAACTACTTAGTTCCGTGTATGCTACGTACGAAACATTGTGGCCACCAGAATAAAGACAAGATTTCTGAGGTAGCAATAAACGAGGTTAGAAGCATAAACCAAAAACAAAATGGGCCGAAATGTGTGGAAAATTGAGAAAAAACAACTTATTGCACGTGAGATAATGTCCACGCACCTAGATATAGTTTTGTAGTGATTTGCAGGAAGTCGACTGCAAAAACAGCTCATTTCTTTTTAACTGCAGTTAGAGGCTGGTAATATTTCTTTAAACTCTCACGAGACTTCTGAATTTAAATAAACAACGTTCTAAGCTGTAAAAGACATCATGAGTCCCAATAATGAATACTATACAATTTGGTAGATAAATACGTCAGTGAATGAAAGGTAAAATCCAACTAATAAGTTTCTTAGCGAGGTATTGAGTGAATTAGATTTAGCTAACGAGATCACGAGTTATCCATTGTTAAGACACCTAACTGACAAAATGTCTATGTAAATTATAGACAATATAGTGTAGCCACTCATCACATGAATCAAGCTTAATTACTGTCCGCTTTTTTTATCCACTCGTAAGGTCATTTTCAGAGAAAGATACTTTCCTAAGTATGATTAACAGATATCATAATTGGATTGTTGTACTAGATTATCATCAGTAAATAAATTAAAATGGATCAAATTAATGGAAAAATGACGAGATAATTTGCAGAAGTTTTTAGACGAGAGATTTATCATCTTGATTGATCAGAACAAAGTAGATCATCCATTAGAAGACTTGAAAAGATATCAAAACCAGAGCTCCAATAACAAGTTCAGGGTAAAACCTTGGTATTTACAAAGTGGTCAAACACTATTGAACAGTTCTATTGACTCTTATTCATTTTCCACACCGATAAAATAAAACAGAATAGGGAAGGTAAAAATAACATTTAGATTTCTCGATTCATTTATGATCAATGTAGGGGTCTCGGATGAATTTGTATCAGTCCGAAATACTGTTATTCCCAGCAGAACAACAATAAGGGGAATTTCCGAGGCGACATGTGAAGCAGAGGAACTAATTTTAATTATGTGGTAGTGAACGTAAATATATTTAGTCACTTAGCCCACAGACTATTAAATAAGTGATTTCCCCTCCTTTCACTGAGAACAACTGCTTTGTAACTGTGCTGAACAAAGTATTATCTAATCTATACTCTGGTTCTCTATTCTGTGTCGGAAATCCTGGATCTGATATAACGTATTATCGTAGTATACTTGAGGAAGAGAGAGGAAAAATATTCCATGCTATCTGTTATATAATTTAATTATTATGGAAAAATGTGAGAAAAGCAGCTTGAAAGGTATAGATAAGATCAAACAATGAAAATTAACCAACGATTTTGAGGAAGATAGGAAATTAATAGAGATAAATCAATGCAAAAATTTATGCCGTACTGCCTGCTGTTCGAACTAATTCCTGATATATGAACTATTGTGAAGATAAATGTCTTTAAAATGGGTCTCAGAAAGATATAGTTGGTCTGTAATTTTTTAATAACTTTATTTTAATTAGCATAATTTAGATTCATCAGTGAATTAAGACATAAGTGGAATGGTAACATAGAGATTAGTATTTGACTAGTATCGAATACATAAGATAAAATATTTGTTAAATATTTTTAAGAGTTTATGTTCTGGAAATGTCAAGACAAATGTGATTATCCATTTTGAGATCGTCAAACAGAAGGATAAGTCACTTCTTATTGTTACTAACAATAGAGACTGAAGTTAGAACTGGTTTGACGTGTTTTTGGAATGTCCTAGGAAGGCTGATGTGATTTATTTTCCTAGGACGAACGATTCTCTAATGTACAGGATTGTCATGCACTATACTAGATACCCAGGCGTAAGACTTATCTCTCACAAGTTACATCAACTCCGATTGAGAACACGATATAGGGATGGATCAACGTGTATAAAGTTACGACAGTTACGAAGGGCTGAGTAAAATCTGTATTACGCTTCATATATACCTGTTTATATGCAATTATTAACCATCCACCGTTCACTTTCACCGACATGTTAACGTCATTCATCTCTTTGATCGTCAAGGAGTTCTTGGTCGGTGACGAGCTCATTGGACCCAAAGTCACCAAACTGAATAGTCTATGTGACACCAGTCATTCATTGCGTCGGAGTACGAAAATTTCAAGTTAGTTGAGATATGATTACATAGTACTTGCATATATATATAATTAGGTTTTGTGCTTACCGTTTTATTAATACGAAACTAGTAAGATGGTGCTTGTCATTTCATGAGGTTGATGACGTTTCAGACCTAAACAAAACTTCACAACTTTGACTTTTCAAAACCTAAAAAACATGGTCATATGACGGTGTATAGTCTGGTGGTGTAATGTTATTATAGTAGGTGAAAATATATTATCAAATATTTGTGAAATGCTGTTAAACAAACAAATTATGGATCGATCACTAATGTGCACAAGTACAAGATTATATTTATCCACAAGACTCAGTGAACTAAAAAGGTCCAATAATTAAGGTATGATACAAAAATTATTATAAAATGTAACTAACTTTATTATTTGACGTCACCCCGAATGCCCTGTAATGAGGTGGAATTGGTTCATAGCATAGACTTTTTCTAGGACCTAGTCCTAACCCCATCGATCGTAATGTTAATGATTCAGTTGCTACTTCATTGATTAAATCAGGGAACTTTTTGGGATTGAAAGAATGTGGGTGACTGTTATTTTCACCAATTGGTGCATAGTATGTCATTTCATATACACTATCAATATAGGTATACAGATCTCGATTTAAAATACGACGTATTAGAGACTGTGCTTGTTGAATTCGAGGAAGAAAATTTTCCGAAGTAACTCTTGATAATGATCCTCGTCCATAAAAAACATCCCACAAAAGTGAATCATGGAGTTTAAGAAAATCATTCAAACTATCTGGATTCTGATATTTTAATGCGTTCATGCTAATGGATCGAAGATTAAGTACAGGTTCTATTAATTCAAGAGCATCAATAATCATAGCCTACAAAAAGGAGAATAAAACAATAGTCGAATATAGGAATCCAAAGTTTGGAATGTCTGAGATGGTGAGTTTACAATTTCTTGAAACCTTTTAAAAATTTAATGTTTGCATACTCTGAACTCAACAAATAAGTTCCATATGAGTGAATATGTCTTCGAATGATGTACTTCGATACCATTCAGTAATATTCAGCTTTCCTTATCATAGTTTGAACAACGCACTGAAATGTAGCAGATTTATGATTAATTTTACTAAGCCACTCGTTCACAAAGTCATAATTATCTCAGTATATTTTTAGTTTCACTGTGAGAGGAGTTTTGCAAAATATTAATGCCTAATCCTGTACGTGGGCAAAGGAAGGCTATAAAGAGGTTTCTGATTTAAAGTAAAATGATTTAGCTATGTAGATCACCTCCCAATAAAAAGTTTTTCAAAACCACAAGTATTAAAAAAGGAACTCATTGAAATACAGAATTACTCTGAATTTCAAATTAAAAAAAAACATTGTATATAGATAAATGAAACTATTCAGTAAGTCAGTCAGTCAGTCAGTCAGTCAGTCAGCTACAACGTAGGACCAGGCACATATGTGCATCAGTCCAGGTTGCCATACCTCATTAGCACAGCAAGATGAACACCGGATTCATAGGAGTGGTTAGGTCAAAGGTTGCAATAAGGATATAGTATCGGAAGGAAGAATTAGTTCGTAGAAAGAAAGATATGACGTGATTTTAATCTCTTAGTTTAAGGGAAGACAAAGAGTGTATACACCGACGCCATTGTGATCGATTCTGAGCCATGTCACCAAGAGTCTCCAACCATTGGATACGAAGGTCACGCGGACCCCAACCAAGTAGTCTGCATCTACCAACATGGCTCAGACTAGAAGTCAGTGTCTTCAAGCACTGATGCCACGTTTTGGTTTGGCCGCCCCTAACTTTCTTCCAACCATCTCCAACACCGGTTAGCCTTGCACGTCGTGGTAATCGGTGTTCAGGCATACGTAACACGTGGCCCAACCATCTCAGTCGATGAAGATTCACAACCTCATCAACTGATTTACCATCATCCCCTAATACCCTGCGTCTAACCTCACTATTACTTACCCGGTGATCCCAGCAGACGCCAGCAATATTTCTAAGGCATCCGTGGTCAAATACTAATAGCTTACGAGTGTCTTCTACTCTTAATGGCCATGTTTCGCTGCCGTAAAGTAAAACAGAACGGACTGCCGTGCAGTATACCCGTCCTTTTATTGATAGACGGATATCTCGCCTTCGCCAGAGGTGACGTAAGTTGGCAAAAGCCAAGCGAGCTTTTCGAATCCGTGCTGAGATTTCGTCAGACACCAACCCATTAGGGCTGATCAGACTTTCAAGATAAGTGAAGTTGCCAACGCGTTCGACTACTTCACTCCCTATCCTTAGTTCAGGTGTTGACGCCGACCAGTCCTGAAGCAACAACTTGCATTTAGAGGGAGAGAAGCGCATCCCAAACATCCTGGCATTGTTGCTTAGTGCTACCAGAAGACTCTGCATTTTATCAGCGTCTTCACCAAACAGGACTATATCATCTGCGTATTCTAAGTCGATAAGTGGACCTCCTGGAAGGAGATCAATACCCGAGAATTCAGTCGACGAGAGTGTTATTTCCATCAATAGGTCTATGATGAAGTTAAACAAAAATGGAGAAAGTGGACAGCCTTGACGGACACCACTTGAAGTTGCGAAAGTAGATGACAGTTCGCCATAAGCTCTGACTCGACTAGTAGTGTTCGAGTAAAGAGCCTTTACAAGGTTTATGTACTTCTGAGGTACGCCTTTCAGTGACAGACACTGCCACAGAGTCTCGCGGTCTACAGAGTCAAACGCTGCTTTTAAGTCAAGAAAGACCACCATTGTCGGACGCCGATAGGTATGCCTGTGTTCTAGAACCTGACGAATGGTGAATATGTGGTCGATGCAGCCACGACCAGGTCTAAAGCCAGCTTGGTTCTCTCGAGTTTGTAGTTCACGAGTCTTAGTTAGGCGTCTGATAATTATCGAGGCCAGTATTTTAGATACTATGTTTGTTAAACTAATCCCTCTGTGGTTGTCACAGGATGATTTTGACCCTTTCTTATATATTGGGACGATGAGTGATTGCGACCAGTCAGATGGGATAAAGTCTAATTCCCAGATCTTAGCTAAAATATTAGTCAACCTAATCGCTAAAATTGGACCACCATCCTTAAAGACCTCTGGAGCCAATCCATCTGGACCAGCTGCCCTTCCTCGTTTCAGATTAACTATAGCCTTTTGAACTTCAGCAAGAGTTGGGGGACCTACTTCAGTGTTCCATTCACATTGTCTGGGAATGGAGGGTAGTTGTAGAGTAGCTGAAGGCCAGCTGAACTGTTCTGTAAAATGTTCCGCCCATCGTTCTAAACGCCTGGACTGGGAGCAGATGAGTGTATCGTCTTTTTCCGATATAATCTCACTTACACTTGACCTATTAATTCCAGTTTCTTTTATTAGTCTGTAAAGCTGTCTTGTGTTCCCTATAGTCGCCGCCTTTTCCATCTCTTTTGCTTTCGTTGCCCACCACTGCTCACGGTCGTTCCTTAGACTTTTTCTTAACCTAGATCTGATTTGTTTTCGCTCTTCATCATGTTCAGAACCTGATGGGACGAGTTTGCGAGAATCCATCAGTGTGACAGACCTTGAAGAAATCCACTGGTTCCTTGCAACTCTGTGGTTTAAGTCACTAATAGATGTCACTGCTGTTTCCACAGCTGATTGTATGCCCTTCCAAGCAACATCTGGGTCAGCCTCGTCTTCACAACTACCTAAATGTGACCTCAGTTGTTCCTGGAACCTATTTTTGGTTTTCTCGTAACTCAACTCAGTTCTAATGGGTCTTTTTAATGTGGCTTTTTTGCGTCCAGTGAGGCGCAAGCAGATGCGTGCCCGTATTAGGGCATGGTCGGAGTCCAAACAGGTACCCCAGAATGAGCGACAATCTTCTACCGACCCTCTCCAACGATGACTGATGGCAATATGGTCTATTTGAGTCCATCGTTGGTTTGGTGTAGGGGGTCGCCATGTTAGACGATGTCTCTCCTTATGCTTAAAATTTGTGTTTGCTAAAAATAAACGATTGTCTGAGCATAGCTGCAGCAGACGATCACCATTATCTGTTCGCTGTGTCGGAATACTAAAATATCCACCTAAATGCCTTTCTGTTTGGTTTAAGCTACCTATCTGAGCATTAAAATCACCTGCTACGAGTACTATGTCTGAGCGTTTAGCTTTCTGAAGAAGTTCAGAAAGTTTTCTGTAAAATTCATCTTTCACTTCATCTGAGCTGCAGTCAGTGGGAGCATAGACAAAAACGACAAAAAGGCAACGACGTGTGTCCCTATCCTTCCGAGTTCTTACGTAGCCGTTCAGCCGGACAGCACATAGACGACTGTTGACGGGGATCCACTCTAGCAGTGCTTGTTCGGCCCTCATGCTTAGTGCTATGCCTACACCTGCCAGTCCACGAGAACTGGCCATCGGGTCACCAGATACATGAAGGGTGTATCTCGTTGGCTCTCCGTTCTGCCGAGGTGAGGTCAAGTGAATGACCACACTGGGATCCTGTATGCGTGTTTCAGAGACACAGCATACATCAATGGAAAGAGACTCTAGGGTTTTAGCCAAGGAAGCCTGCTGACCGATTTGACATAGAGTGCGTACGTTGAAAGCTCCAATGTGTAGTTTGGAGCGAGGTTTCAGTAGACCTGGGACAGAGTTTTGAGCACTAGAATCGTTGGCTATGGTGACACTTGAGGAGGAAGCCGAAGGAGGAAGTTTAGGGTTGAAAGTCGATGTAGGAGGAATAATAGGAATTGAAGAGGAAGGTTGATTATGAATACAGTGGTCTTGGGTGCTGTTAGAGGTATGAGGGCGGTTATCACTTCCCGGTTGCCCACACCGTGGAAGGGTTCTTCTGGAGGTACCTGAAAAGGAAATTGGATTAGAGGTGGTCTCAGTGACCTGAGAGCGTGACCGCAGTGCCCAAGGGACAACTGCTTGAGGCCGGTCGCGCACGGCCTTTTCGTGGAAGGTTTTCGACGTGTTAGCTCCGTTCTTCAAAGGGCCTTACCGCCGGAGACGGAAATCCGTGAGGTAAGGTGAGGTGTGCATTTTTAGGGTCGACCTTTTCTAACCCCACCCCTCCTTGTGGGAAGGCAGCATCGCTGTCATGCTGGTTGTCTGAAGGAAACACCTTACTGCTGTCACACCTCTGTACAGTCAGCAGTACGACTTCGCCTTCGGACCTTGGGTTTGTTGCTTTTAGTCTTACCGCTCTTCAGCCGACCTGTCTGACATGGTAGGACCTTGAGGAACGGTTGTTCCAGCCAGTATAGCTCGGTTGCTTCATCACGATAGGCAAGCCCGACCACCACGTCAAGGTAGCAACAACGGTCGGGATTCAGTAAGTGGGATGTTGGACCTATACAATTAAACAATACTGAATCTATCTTTTGGACTGTTGTCAGAGCAAAATAAAGTCCAAAGTATTTTTTAAAAACCTCATCACGGTTTTGGTGAATCCCAGAAACTATTCACTCACACTGAGTCGACATTACTTTTAATTTAGACAAACAAATTTTAAACTAGTTAATAATTTTAGCATTTCTAAGAGTTTAAAAATCCCAAACTTAGATTGCATAATTGCAATTATGATTTTTAAATATCACAGGTTGTAAGCAGCTGATGAGAACTTACGAAATAAAATGAATTCATGCTATTCTGCTAGAGTCTTTGCTTTTGCTCTTTTTAAAATGATAAAGGGAACTATGTGTATAAAAAATCCCAAACTTAGTAGCATCATCCTAAATCAACATTGGTTTGGGTTTGTTGAATGGTAAAATAATGTCTTATACTGTATTTTCACCATTTCATCTATGGTGAGAACAGTGGAGTATTTAGTATGCACACACCACTGCCCTTCTTTCCTACACTTTAGTTTAAACCATTAAAAAGACTGCATGTATTTGAAAGACGAAATAACAATCCTTTTTTAGTATCTGAAATAACAGAGAAGCAGACTAACTTACAGAAATAGCTGTCACTGTTTTATGTTGATAAACTTTTTGATGAAGATGCTGTCGTAAACTGAATGTTCGAAGCAAATTTTCCAATTCTGTATCTCTAAATGATAAATGCCAACATTTTGATTCATTCTCGTCGCCTTTGTCTTTATCAGTATGTAGAAATGGTCGGTAAAATCTTAAAAATCTATCAATATCCACACTAGTCCCACTAGCTCCCAAACCAGAATGCAGACAATCTCGGAGTAGATAATCCCATTTGTCAACATCCATACCATTTAAACTATTGGAGAGAATCTGAATTTATTAAGACAAAGTAAAATTTAATAATCATAATAAGTACTAATAACTAATTTAAAATTGTAATTCGCCAAAACCTACTAATTCAATATTTGTTCATAATAATAAGAAAGTTCAGATCATTCAATCGTAAGTATCGCATGACCACACTTATATTGTATTCAGAAGCATCTTTGAAATGACGTTAACATAATAGGATAACAAACTTTATTACAGCTTTTAAAGATGTTTCTAAAACTTAAAAATAACTTACCTCATAAATAAATGATTTATTCTTCAATGAATCCTGTGAAAAGTTCAAATTAGAGAAAATGGAATACAACATATTAAATTCAGATAGTTATTTCTAAAGTGATAATTATGAAAAAACATGAAACGATTATTCTGGTTATATATATATATATATATATATGACTCCAGTTAAATCGTGTGCCCATTGTCATAGAAATATACATCTCAGGTAACTTCGTACATAATTATCGATCGAAATAGCGTTAGTGAATAACGGTATTAAATAAGTCAAATATGAGAATGAATTTTTGAATAAGTATATTTCATACACTCGTTGATCTGAACAGACAATCGGATAAACGAAGTGGAGCAGAGAAAACGAGAGAGCCAACTTGCTTTGACCAAGTGTGACTCAACATTTTATATTCAGACAAAAGTAAATTACAGACACGTAATAAATAGAATGAGCAATTAACATGTATACGATCATATAAAAAAAGTCAAGCGAATAACTGCCAAGGTCAAAATGAATAAATTGGTCTGTCCATGAGCTAGAATAGCCCATGTGGGCTTGACATAGTACCAGCCCCTATATATATATATATATATATATATATATATATATATATATATATATATCCAGTATCTGATTTCTGGGTGGAAACTAATGTCGTTACTAGTCTGTTTATTGTTGATAGAATTCTGTCAACCAGGTTGGGATGTGACTCCTACTTTAAGTGTCTCGAGATCATATGTACTGTTCTGATAGCAGGTTGGGGGAGGAAATTTGCAGGAAATCTTGAGATTAGATTTCGTACCACTTTTCACCTATCATTAAGTCGTATCTGCCATCTTGGGGAAACTAGTGATTTTTGTCAGATCTACGTCTGTCAATTAAAGGATGACAGTTACGACTCGGTAGTCAATTATCATAAAAATCTCAGTCCTGTAGGTGGTCAATCACAATTCTAGTACGACACTGATAACCTCTCTGACTGTGACAATCGGTAGTGTGGGTTTGAATCTTACGAGGAACATCAGTACGATAACTAGAAGTATTCGGATTATTGTACTAACTAGGAATTACCTTGACAATGCGATTGAAGCCAGACAGAACTAGATTAGCACAAACGAGAGTATCGTATTTGGAATTCGTAATCATCGGGTAATCAAGTACCAGAGAATCATTAGCTCATGCGAATAGCATAATCAGTTTACTCAACATTATGCTAACAAGTTTCACCTGGCATGAAAGGTTCATATAGGGCTTCGTATTGGCTATGGTCAACACAACTTGACATAGACAAAATGTTCTTATCGAAGTTGATGCAGGAGTAAGCTAGCTAGTTCCAAAGAGTAATCATCACTAAGATGAAAGTAAACTTCAATTTAGTAGTTAACGTTTAACCTAATTTATATAAAACCTAAAATCATTGGATTCGATTCCAAGAACAGTCAATTCTTATAACCTTTGAATGGTTTCTTAGAGTAAATTGTTGTCATCATAGATACTATCTTCAGGCTAAATGAAATTTATCTAATTAAAGAAACATTATAATTTATAACGAAGTCTACAAGATATTGCATCACGACTAATTGAGTATATTAAATAAATTATTCAGAATGATTTCTAAGGCATTACCTGTTGTGATAATACAGTACTAGTATCACCTAGTATCAGACTGCGTATGAGATTCATATCAACGCCAAGATTATTTAATTCACTTTGTAGGGTAGGTTTTGAACAAATAATTTGATAAAGTACATGCCCACTAATTGTTTCATGCTATACAGATGCGAAATAAAAAAAACTGGAGAAGTTAACCTGAATTAATATGTATAGGGTAGGGTTAAAACTGCGACATTTTTAAAGTATGTACAGAATCTCACATATGCGTCAATGCCTTTTCGATGTTCGCTTGATCTAGGTAAATACCGATCCCATTGCGGTAGGAGTATATTATTTGTTTGGTATTATAGTCATCACAATGTACCAACTAGCCACAAAACAACCAATGATCTAATGAGAACACTGGACAGACGAACAAAGTATGTATTATTATCATATATTATGTTACGGTAAGTGAAGGGGATAGGGTGAATATGTATTACAAGTCAAGCATATCTATCTATCCAGCCATTTAGGACGTCAACCGATCACCGCTATGTGCCATCTACACAACACCACCCTCACCGAATTTGTTCGTCAGTATTTGGCCTTAAATTAATTTGAAAGAAATCCCACCTGCATTTCTTATTGTCACTATCATTTTACGGACTTACAGCTGCAATTCATTTGAAGTAGTAGTGGTGATAACATCAAACGTCTCATATTTCGGTTGGCTTGAGATGACTGACTGCTCATTACTTAGCCAGTCAGAACCGACAAATATCTATTCGGGTTTTGGAGAAAATTATTTCGATGACTTTTGCTTTTCATTACAAAAAATTTAGAGTAGAAATACCTTTATATGATTCTGAGGATGTTTAAAATTGCTTGTAAAGATTTAATGTCATCACAGAGTGAAAATTACAATGTTAAGTGTACCAAGTGCTTATTTTTTTAAGTACAGATTTTACGCCACAGGTGGGTAAAACACTTCGAAGAACTCTTGAATCGACCAGCTCCACTGAACCCACCCAACATAAAAGAAGCGCCCACGGACCTCCCAATCAATGTTGGCCCACCAACAACTGAAGATATCAGCATAGCCACTAGATAAATAGCGACAAAGCTGCAAGACCAGACAACATTCCAGCAGAGGCACTGAAAGCAGATGTAGCAGTAACTGCAAGGATACTCCACATTCACTTCAGCAAGATTTGGGATGAAGAACAAGTACCAAAAGACTGGAAAGAAGGACTTCTGATCAAAATATCAAGGAAAGGCGATCTCAGCAAGTGTGATAACTACAGAGGCATCACTCTTCTCTCAATACCAGGAAAAGTCTTCAACAGGGTATTGTTAAATAGAATAAAGGACTCCGTAGATGCCCAACTTCGGGACCAACAGGCTGAATTCCGTACGGATCGATCGTGTACAGACCAAATCGCAACTCTACGGATGATTGTGGAATAATCAATTGAATGGAATTCATCACTCTACATCAACTTCATTGACTACGAGAAAGCATTTGATAGCGTGGACAGAACATTACTATGGAAGCTTCTTCGACACTACGGCGTGCCTCAGAAGATAGTCAATATCATACAGAGTTCATATGATGGATTACACTGCAAAATCGTTCATGGAGGACAGTTGACAAAGTCGTTCGAAGTGAAGACCGGTGTTAGGCAAGGTTGCTTACTCTCACCCTTTCTCTTCCTCCTGGTGATCGACTGGATCATCAAGACGTCAACATCTGAAGGGAAACACGGGATACAATGGACATCTAGGATGCAGTTGGACGATCTAGACTTTGCAGATGATCTGGGCCTTCTATCCCAAACGCAACAACAAATGCAAGAGAAGACGAACAGTGTGGCAGCAGCCTCAGCAGCAGTAGGTTTCAATATACACAAAGGGAAAAGCAAGATTCTCCGATACAATACAGCATGCACCAATCCAGTCACAATTGACGGAGAAGATTTGGAAGATGTAAAAACCTTTACATATTTGGGCAGCATAATTGATGAACACGTTGGATCTGATGAAGATGTGAAGGTGAGAATCGATAAAGGATGAGCAACATATTTACAATTGAAAAACATCTGGAACTCAAAGCAACTGTCAACCAACACCAAGGTCAGGATTTTCAATACAAATGTCAAGACAGTTCTACTGTATGGGGCGGAAACCTGGAGAACAACGAAAGCCATCATCCAGAAGATACAGGTGTTTATTAACAGTTGTCTATGCAAAATACTTCAGATCCGTTGGCCGGACACTGTTAGCCACAACCAACTGTGGGAAAGAACAAACCAGATCCCAGGGGAGGAAGACGTTAGAAAGAAGCGCTGGAAGTGGATAGAACACACATTGAGGAAAGCACCCAAATGCGTCACATGGCAAGCCCCCACATGGAATCCTCAAGGCCAAAGGAAAAGAGGAAGACTAAAGAACAGACAGATATGAGAAAAATGAACAAAAATTGGATAGAACTGGAAAGGAAGGCTCAGGACAGAGTGGGTTGGAGAATGCTGGTCGGCGGCCTATGCTCCATTAGGACTAACAGGCGCAGTAAGCAATTAAGTCTAGTGTCTGTAAAAGTACGTTGGATACTAAATCACGTGGTCAATTCTTTTTAAGATTAGGTGTTTGATATATGTCTTTTACGATCATCAGTTTTATAAACAAACTTGATGGTATGATATATGGATGACCCTGACTTATTTTCGCATCTAAATGACTAATGTTAACATTAGATATCTGTGGAATGACAAGTTTTCCAAATAAACGATGCTATAGTGAATAATAGACGTAAAACACTAGGCATGAATCATATTTAGGAAAAGCTCAGACTAACATCAACAGTAAATATTTCGGTACAATTTTAATCAACATTTGTTCAAATTAACAGTGATCTTGAATTATTGATTTCTAGAAAGCATAATTATCAGTTGGGTGGTTCCAATAAGTCAACATACTCAGAATACATTACATGAACTGAAGTTGTTTCGTTTCAAATCCTTTGGCTTCTTTCGAAAGCACTTCTACGTTAGTAAAGTGAAAGCCTCTAAGGTAGTCTAAATTAAAATCTTAAGAATTAGTAAAGAATAAGTTTGGCAATAAGGACTAGAAATCTAAACAATTTTCTCAATGTCTTGATAATACGTCACAGATCTATCAGATTTATTTACACTCCTCTGTGGTTAGCTGATTTTTCAAACTAAATAGTTTGAAAGACCAGACCAATAAGTCAGTTATTTATTATGTAGAACCTGGAACATGTAAATTACCTCAAATCACCGCAATACACTAGAGTATCGAGATGAAATTAGCAAAACGAATCTCAGAAAGGTAAAAGTAGTGTAAAAATCAAGCACGAATCTCTCAGTGGTAATTTTTCTGCAGTTATTATCAAACTTAATTCACTTACGTTATATTCACTATATTCTGACCCGCCCCTTTTGACGAACTCTTCCCATAAATGAGAAAAAGGTCCATGACCTGTTTTGAAATAAAAAACAAAAGTTCATGCAATGGTTTATAGTTATTATTCGTTTGTCTACAAAGTTTTTTATTTTCAAGTAATTCGTTTTCACTAACTATGAATTAATCTCCATAAAAAGAAAAGATGCGACAAACACAATCGTCATTGAAATATAACGAATTCCGACACCTATTTTATTATTACAGCACAAAAACTTTTCTGAGGAATCAACTGAAGCTGGATATTTTCAACTGTAATAGTGAACATTGGATTTAAGTGATCTGTGATTCGTACCATCAGCTAATAGGATTTCACAATAAGTTTTTTTCTTGACTTCATATTTCTAAAGTGTGTTATTTGCTTCAATGACTGTTTTAAAGTCACTTTTCTGTTCAGTATGGGATTATAGTATAGAATTATCTGAAAATGTACGTCAATGCTTATTTAAGTTATAGAGGTACTTCTTTAATATTATTACACTCCTTGTACCACTATTCCTCCATCTCGTGTTACAAGCTAATTTTTGTATCGTTCGGACAAACTGAAGCGCTACAACGACGAGAAACTACTCGTTGCAACGCTTCATTATTCATTAATGAAATGTCAAATTATGTCGCAAACATTCTCTATCCTTAATCTTTTTCACCATCACTGATAATACTACTAATGATACTACTTTGATACTCAACTAGATGATTTCATTCTACTGAGCCAATAAGGTGTGGGACCTTGAATCAATGTATGTTATGTAATGTCCCACTTTGATTACGACTGACTAACTAACTGAATACTGTATATATTGTTGTGAGTAGTTTTATAAACTGGAAAACATTCGAAAAACTCTAAAGTAAATGATATAAACCGCAACGAACTCGTACATTTCGGTGAAGTCTTCTGAAAAAATTTACCAAAATAATATAAACAAGGTAGTTGGACATGTGAGTAATTTTAACTAAAAGTCAAACAAATCTCTAGTTCTCCTCATATTTCCACTATCCCGTAACATGTTTCGACTCATAATGATCATTTTTGAAATGAATATAAAATGTTGTCAAACGTCTTAAATTTCAGAATTATTAACTGAAAACTAAAAAACCTGCTTTTATGAGATTTATTTATCTCGAATTCGCTTCTATAACTACCGGTTCGCTTTTAAGCCCTCCATATAATCCTGTCAAACGGATTTTCGAAGTCTTCTAAGTGTCTGAAGTGACCGGAAAAAGTGTCGGATGAGTAGGACTGCTTCTAACCGTAAAATTTTGATTTAGAAGTGCTCTGCGTAAATGTCTAGTGTGACTATTGGCAAGCAAACTAGATGTTTTGACTACTTTTGATAAGTTTAACCTCATTGGTTCTTAAAGGCCGGTTAACAAATAGACCTGTATCCCTCAATAAACACCATTTCGCATTTCAGAACGTTATCACCTCACCTAGTGTGATGGATTTTCGGTGCCTATTGTAACAAAATGATCATATTGTTGGTGGAAATTTAAAACACTTAGAAATTATGTCGTGTGTCGACTCACCTAAATCATGGCACAAGGCAGCGATTCTAATGGCTAACTGTTCTGAGGAGCTCAAAGCTGGACCCGAGTAATTTTTATCATTGTGAATAGTCTCAAGTAGCTTTTTGGCCATATGATAAGTACCAATCGAATGTTCAAATCGCGAATGTTGACAACTTGGAAAAACAAAATAAGCAATACCTAATTGCTTTATTTCTCGAAGACGCTGGAATTCAGGAGAATCGATCAACTGAACAGCTAGTGACTCCAGCTCTATTACACCATGAACTGCATCTTGAACAATCTGTATTATAAAATTAGAATGTTCAGCAATGGAGTGGTTTAGGTCATAATTCATTATTTTCTTACATAAGTACTGTATAAATCTTAGTCAACTAAAGATTATAAGTTCCATCAGCACATCAGTAGTGAATAAATAATCTAATTTCTGTATTAATGAAACACCCTAATATTATCTATTCCCATATATAAATTATTCATGCAAAATGCTAATCCACTGAACCTAACCTTCAGGATTATTGATGGCATTTGGTAAGGTATGCTTGAATTAAATTAAATTACTGGTGATTTCTGTAAAATACGATCCATATTGAATGTTCATACAATACAGATTCAAGTATTCATGAAGCTTTGTTACCCAGAGCTCTTTGGTTCATAGTGCTTAATTTAGAAAGCAAAATTATAACAGAATGTCTAATTATATTAGAACTGGAAGAGGAGCATACCAACCATTGTAGGATCTTTGATTTGTTGCATAAACTCACACATTTCCCGAAGCATTACCCGTGTATATTTGGACCAGTGAGTATTGTTGAAATTTGGGGATGGCAAACCTATAAATGATGTAGAGAATCTTTATTGACTTTGGTTGTTGGAACACGTATTACATATTGCTAACCACTCCACACCTTGATGAATGATGTTATCTGGCGAAGGAGTAGGTTGATAAAAGGATGTGGACGGCAAAAACAAGATATAATATCAGTCAACAAAGTCACTGTTGAATTGAGCCACGTTAAAAGTCATACACTACTTGGTAAGATCCTGTGCTGTCATCGTAACCAGTAGTTGGCTATGTAGGATGACACGGTCCAAAGTCGGTAGTAGATCCTAAGTTTTCAAATCATTTTATTATTTTGTATAATAATTGCGCAAATTCTTAATTTGATCTGGAATCGCATCTTCTATATCTAATCTTTTCTATACCATTTGACTGTTGCTAAATCTAATTCTACAGGACTGAACTTCGCTCTATTATCACATACAGATCTTACTTGCAGGTCATTTTTATATAACCGCTTTGCATAGTTTAAAACAGATCACTTTATTATCTGGTTTGCGCTTCCGATCATTCTACAAAATATTGCTTCTTCAATCTCAAACACAGAGTTTCAAGCTGTAAATGACAATATTGACATTTTACTAAACTATGCCAGGATGTTTTTCAAGGTAAATGAAAAACTGACATATATCAACTGACGTTTTGGTAACCAGAAACAATAACTATCAAAATATTGTCAAGAGTATAAAGTTCCTAATAAGTTTCTTAAATGATATGTATGCTGATCGTGAATGACATGAACAAAAACACGGGAGAGCATAAATGTCTTTTAAACTAATCTCACTTAGCGAATCATAAGCAAATACATACGTAGTACAAATGTTAACCATCTCAAGTTTCGACCCATCAGTACAGTGCTGTGAATGTAACAATTCCGATAAAAACATGAAAAAGCTTGCACAAAAACGTATGCAAACTTTCTCGCAGCTGAAATTGTAGCGGTAAATGAATCCTCAAAATAAATAGTCCCATGAGTCTTAGATGTTGACTTCAGTTTTACTAGACACATCCAAGCTAAAAACACTTGGTCAGGCATCCACACCAGACCATCAGTGGGAAAGTTGTGCTACGTATCTATCGTAACAACTAGTCAGCTTGGATCACAAACTTCTCAAAATATCAAATACCTCCCAAAAATATCCTCGAACTACTTTACTATTGACTTCCAGTGTGATTGGGTTTGAGATCGTTCGATTATAAAGGTGTTACGAACAAAGGCGTTGTCTAATTCTGAATATCCATGGCATCTTAAGAATCAGTAATGTATGGCTCACCATCAGAAATGATAGTGATAACACAACAAGGTAGCCAGTGGCCAAGCATATGTAATATGCATCCCATAACGAAGTCCTATTGCTATTCTTATACGGTGGTACATCCAGATTTAGGATCGCTTAGTCGATTGTTTCGTTTTTCATAAACGTTCTGTGTTTCTAAAAGCTACGTCACTCAACCATAAAGCACAATATTTGGTTACTGTGTGCTATACTAGCCCCTTGATTTGATGATGAGCATGTAATCTATGCCGCAGGTAAAACGAGTTGAGTAAAGTCATCGATTATTCGGAATGCATGCTGCAAGCATTGGCTCTAGTTGTGTTTGAGTAAACAGCCTCTATAAATTTTACATAGCTCCTTAGGACATATGTTAACGGCGACCTCCTACAAAATGCTGTGGAATCGACTATTGTTCGGTGTAAGCACGCCGACAATCCGAAACCTCTCATAAGTCAATATTTGATCACCACTCTTTTTCTTGTTTAAAGAAAGCCTAATTTTCCAGCGTTTACACATAATTAATGAATTTAAAGTAAACTTTATGGAGATATTGATATAAACACGTCTCTGTTTAGCTAGGAAACTCCCTAAAAGTTTTAATCTTCCCCGAAAATTCCACATATTCCAAACAATTTTTGCCAAAGCCTATAAAATTTAAGTAATATATTTCAATTAGAGTATATTTCCAAGCTGCCAATCTTGGGGAAAATTTGGCCCACTTTGGGGAAGCCGCTATAGTAAATTTTGGGGAAATGAGACGCAAACCCAAAAATTTCCCCAGACCTGGGGAAATTCCCAAAATTTCCTCAAAGTTGGCAGCTCGGGTTCCTTTCAACGAGGAACTGTCAGTACTTATAAGTTGAGTTTTAATTAAAACTCAACTGGTTGATGAATTATTTACAATAGACGTAACAAGGTAAAGTTTGTGTATTAAGATTAACATTACCTTAGAAGACATTTTACTGTTGTAGAGTGCAATTCGACCAGATTGCTGGAAGTACCGTTGGAGTAAATCTTCAGACGGGATGACAACAAGCTCTTTACTTTATTAGCGTCGAACCAACTGCAATCTCGCAATTAGACATATTGATACAACCACCTTTTACTTAGTGATTTTCACACCAAGGTCGTTTTAATCCTACTGTTGCTAACGTTACGTTAATAATTGGTCTCGGGATCGTGTTACAAAAACCAAGTGTCGCAGGTAAACACCATTAGAAACACATGTAGCTTGAATCAAGATGAACAAAAACACCAAATAATGATATGTTGATATTACAGTGTATACAAAACTCTGCACGTTAGATTTTATTATAAATCAAGGTTTTCAAGAGCTTAAAGCTCATCGTCGGTCCTCCTCCAAGAATTCTAATTGTTCTTTTTGGTGTTTGGTCTAACTACCTTCTGTGTCCTAAAATTTCCTCGTCATAGTATGTGACCGCGTTACTTCTCTGATAAGCAGAAATATCAAGATTATTTTCCAGTTGCTAAGAATATGAAGCTCCTTCTGGTAGAGCCACTAAGTTGTAGGGAGTGTAGCGGTAAATAAATCTCCAAAATAAATAGCTCTGTAAGTTTTCGACATTGGATGCTGACCACAGGTCTTAATGGACTCACCTAGCTAAAGGCGCTCGGTCATGCATCCGCACCAGATCACGTGTGGGAACGCTGTGCTCAACATCTACTGCAATCGCTAGCCAGACTAGATCAGACAATTCCGATATATTGACAATCGTCAAATACAACTTCTGATCTCATCGATTCTGTCTTTTGATTTCTCTTGGTGAGTACGAGTTATATTAGATGTTACTGGTTAAAGCGTTGTCAAACACTGAATACCTGTGCCAGCTTCAGGAGAGTGAAATGTCAGTGAACCTTGACCAAATAATCTATCAGGCTATGTTAAACGGCCGGTCATTGACCGTTTGATAATCTAGTAGAGATAGTCAGGGTCAAGGATGACTAACACAGACTGATCAGTTGCACGCTATTATGACAGTGTTTGAAGAGCTTTTGGCACGAAGGTGGCAGTTGCGATGTGGAGTGATTGATCATATTGCTGGGTTGTAGCTGGTAATTAATTGGGACTCACACTAGACTGGTTGTGTTTCTGGGTGTGATAGTAACTCTTAATCATTGTGCATGTTAAAGAGTCTCAAGCTATGTCTTCCACCCCTACTGTGTATGCCTCGTATAACTGTTACAGTCATGAACTGGCCAGTATTAGCAATGGTTTCATTCTGTCTTTTACCTACTCTTATATTTTTTAAAAATCTTCATACTTTTTCTGTTCACTTGTCAGTTGAGCAGAATTATCTAGGTACCACGAGAGGCCAATCTAGGTTAGGTATTATCTGTGGATTATAACGTCGACCTAACCAGGCAGTTCCTGCCAAATCTTATAGACAGGGTCCTTCTACACAGATCACACAAACTCGTGATCTACAAAGCAATAATATAACGGTTTACAGATTCGTAGTGCTTTCGGTCTGTGAAGAGATTGTTGCCTACTTATTTATCTCCTTTAAGTAGCATTATTTTGCCTTGTGTGTACCGAAATATTTCTAAAAAACATGACCTCAATACATACTTTTGACAACTTACATCACCTGTAGCGAAGGTGAGATATCCGTCTGTTAATTAAGGGACGAGTATAGTGCGAGGCAACTCGCTCTGCTCCGCAAAACGTGGTCATCAAGAGTAGAAGATACTAGTAAGCTACCTATATTTGATCACAGATGTCTTAGAAATATTGCTGGCATCTGCTGGGATCATCGTGTAAGTAATAGTAAGGTTAGACGCAGGGAATTAGGAAATGATGGTAAATCACTTGATGAGGTCGTGAATCTGTAGTGTCATTGGACCCTAACTACACAATCCTCAAAACTAAACACGAAACGCTTGGGAAAATAGATATTCAACATTTAACGGGGAGGAAAACCTAACGATGAGGAAGGCGGGAACAATTAATTCGAGTTGATCGGATGGCAATGCTCGGCCTTGCAGGTGTGGTCCCTATTGAATGAGTTGGTATAGACGATGATGCAACTTCCACGTAAGATCTTATAGATTAGTCCGTTATATCATGACGAATCTGAAATTTTAGGATTAGGTCCATTATAGAGCAGTACTCATAACGAAATAGCCCATAATTCTACAAATCTTCATCGACTGAGATGGTTTCACCACGTGTTGCATATGCCCGAACACCGATTACCACGGCGCGCAATGCTCACTGGTGTTGGGGATGGTTGTAAGGAGAGTAGGGGCGGCCAAACCATTAGTGCTTGAAGTTACTTATTTCTAGTCATAGTCATGTTGATAGATGCAGACTACTTGGTTGGGGTCCGCGTGACTACCGTAACGAATTCTTAGATACTCTGTGTGACGTGGCTCAGAATCGATCACAATGGCGTAGATGTATACACTCGTTGTCTTCCCTTAAACTGTGAAATCAAAGTTGCTTTATATCTTTCTTTCTACCAACTAATTCTTTCTTCCTGTACTATGTCCTTATATGCAACCAACTACAACAACGAAATTTTAGAAGCGGAAGCCGTAGCCATTCACAATCGCTCTCAGTAATCCCACCGTTCTAAAGAAAGGGAATTATGAATCTGAACGGGTAATTGTTAATGTAAAATATGAAGGAATCAGCAAGTAGCATCTGAAGTGGGATGCATTATAAAATGTAATTAAGTCACTCATGTTCAGTGTAGCTCTTCACTTATGTCACTGATTATTAACCAGTCAGGAGTCATTCTGACTACATTTATCACTGTTGTGTCTTTTATCAGTCTACTCACGTTTGTGCAGATGATAACTTTTCTAATCTAGATTAAGACCTTGACGCAATATTCTGGCTGGCTTAACTTTCAGACTAGGATGCGTGAGTTTCAAGTGAGAGAAGAAAACTTTCTTATCACCTGATTGACTGACGAGCACGCAAGTGAGAGAAGACAGGTCAGCCTGAACACTACACGACTTATTACCAATTGCGATCTCGTTCCCGATTTCAGATTAGTGTTTAAAGTTACATGAGTGAAAAGATGAGTAAACAGACCACATAACAATTATAAAAATACAATTATGTCCAAAGCTTATAATCTGTAGAACAGACAAGAAACGAAAATAAATGTTACCGTTTTATGAACTTCGAAATAAATGAAATAACGTCCGGAAAAATAAATTCTGTAGCTCATCGCCTATGTCACTGATTATAAGTGTAATTAATCTATAGACAATTTCCTATAAATCCACACTTATCTTTGGTTCATCTTTCCTGAAATAAGGTTTTGATTTTGTCTATTTTCACATTATGTAGCCTGTATATACTCAGTAAATAGACATATTCGAAGCTTCACAAACCTTGTGAAGGCTCTTTATTCGAACACCACTAGCCGAGTCAGAGCTTATGGCGAACTTTCGCCTGATTTTGAAACCTCAAGTGGTGTCCGACAAGGCTGTCCACTATCCCACTTCTGTTTAATTTCATAATAGACCTACTGCTGGAAATAACGTTCTCGTCGACTGAATTTTCAAGATCCGATCTCCTACCAGAAGGTACACTTGTCAACTTAGAATACGCAGATGGCAGTCTTGTTTATGTGTGCTTACCTTTACTTCATATTCTTTCTGAATAAAAGGATATATTTTGTATGCCCCACGAACGTAATCCACTGAAAAGCGAAACGTTTTAAAATTATTTCGACTGAACAATTAATAATATCACCAATGGATTCTATGTTTTATATTATGAAACTCATAATTGGAAAACATTGAAAATCCAATAAGTCAACTTCAATCATTGGGCATAATCATATTATATGTGATTACATCCACTATCATGAAACCCTGCAAGTCTTATTTATTCAGATCTTCTTATTTACAATTGGTTTTTCTGGCAAGTTAAACATAATTGAACTGTCACAATTCAACTTTTGACACCACATAACCAGAATATTTAGACCCTATCATTTACTTCAGACACTGAGTGCACATGTTCTAAAAAGGTGCGCGGAGATAAAGACTTTTCGTGCCTTAAGGTAACCCTGGCGCTATTGATAGAAGAAACCAGACAAGTAGTGAATAGGTCTTTATTTCGATCTTCGCGCAGTCACAGTGGAGCGTGGGATTATCTGTTCAGACAAACAAAGGCTCTCAACATTCAATATAAGATAATAGGGAATATAACGCTTATACAAAATAAGGAAGTGAATGAATACTTGAACAATACTGTTTTGGCATATACTTGGTTGTTTGGGGTCAACTCTTAACCAACCAACCTAAGCTGTTACAGACTTACATTCTAAATTTACACATACAGCAATTAATTAATTCAGGATACGATCATCCATGGAATAATAACGTCATTGATATAAAGCTTTGTAATAGGTGATTACTTTTATTGGCGGCATTGTGATGTATTCAACTGATGCACTACGATATTTACTGTGCAATGATAATTATCATCGTGCGAAGTTTGTGGAAATCCCGAAAGTGAACTTCAGTTATTGCGAATACAACTGATTACTGAATTTTAATAAATAGTCTAAAACAATACAGTAAAGAGTAGAAAGGGAAGGAGTAGGAACAATGTAGGACAAACTTAACGTATGTATTATAACAAACATTTTAAAGGGTTTTAGCTCACCTTTTCTTTGGATCGCCATCCACGTTTATGTACTTTATCTCTTGCGTCATGCAAGATGGCCTGGCTTGTTGTTGCCATGGCGTGTATTATATCCTTTTCCTGGCAGCTTGCACTTCTGAAACGTGAACTCAAAGCACCTACAAGTATGTTAATACAGTAAAGTGGACTTACTTTGAACCATCGAGTAAAATTTGTACTTACTAATACCAAATTTACTTCTGGTTCTGTGTAGGGTGTATGTGTTTGCCAGTTCCGGAGAAAGGAGGTATTTCAGACAGGCTTTTGCTGATTTCCGAAGATCATCA